GTAAGGCCATCCTTGGTGGTGGTCACACTTCTTTTGGGCAAGGGCAAGCCATCCTTCAGCCAGGTCACCTCGGGCATGGGGGCAGCCTGGAAAACAAGAGCAAGGAAAGGGTAAGGAGGGGAAGTTTTATGGAGATGATGGCATTTAAGCTGGGCCTAGGGTAGAAGTGGTAAGAAGAGCCTTACCAAGAGGAGAAAGGTCAGGGACAAAACACATAGGTAGGAAAGTGCCTGTTCAGGGATAGGCTGCTAGAGAGGTGGTGATGAAGTATGGGGGTGGCCAGTGGGTATAGTTGGGGGTTGGTAGAACAGGAAAGAAAGCTGGACAGAGAAGTTAGGCAAAAGTGTGATACACCTGCCATATCACACAGCACAGACATCTAGATTTTATTCTGTAAGCTGTGAGTTGCTGTTATGAGCAGGAAAACATAATTAGTTCTGGATTCACATGGAGGGGGTTGCTGGATGGAAGCAAGAAGGGAGGACTTGAGAATCCCTGCAACAGTCCAGGAGGGAGGTTATGGCCGCCTGGCCTTGAACTGTGGTGACCCTGAGCAGGGAAGGGTGGTCAGCCCAGCTGTTTGGTGATCACGCTGCCAACTCTCTGGAGGCCCCTCAGGATTGGGCACACTGGGCATCAGAGTCAAATGGACGTGCTGACAGTCACTTAGCTCATGGGGTTGATCTGAGGATTTAAGGAGCTAATAACACACAAAAGCACAGAGAAGAGGCCTAGGACACAGTAAACACTCTGTGTGTGAAATACTTTTGTCATCATTCCATTGTTGTTATTGTGATCTAATCTTTAAGAACAAGTAATTTAGAGTAAGACGGATCTGGGTTTGAATTTGGCTCTGAGACCTATGAGCTTCACCTATGTGATGATGTGATTTTAAATAATAATGATGGGCTGGGCATAGGGGCTCACACTTGTAATCCTAGCACTTTGGGAGGCCAAGGTGGGAGGATCCCTTGAGACCAGGAGTTCAAGACCAGCCCGAGCAAGAGTGAGTCCCCAGTCTCTACTAAAAATAGAAAAATTAGCTGGGCAGGCCTATAGTCCCAGCTACTTGGGAGGCTGAGGCAGGAGAATCACTTGAGCTCAGGAGTTTGAAGTTGCTGTGAGCTAGGCTGATGCAGTGATACTCTACCCAGGGCAACAAGCTGAAACTCTGTGCCAAAAATACATACATACATACGATAGTAACACGTATTGCGTGCTTGCCATATGCCAGCCCTATTTATGTGCTTTCAATGTATTAACTCCTTGAATCCTCAGAACAACCCTTTGATATAGGTTACTATTATTATCCCCATTTGAGGATGAAGAAGTTGAAACACAGAATGGTTAAGATCTTTGCCCAAAGTCAAACAGCTGGTGAGTGATGATGTCAGAATTTGAACCCAGGCAGTTTGTACTTTTAACCATCACACTACTGTTATGCTATACAAACAGAGTCAGGTGGTGTTGGTGTTGACTGAGGATTCTCCTGAGTCAAAGGCAGGCCATATGTTTCCACAAGAATACATTCTGAGGTCAAAGGGGATTATCTGTAGTGCAGGCCCCCTGAATTCCCAAATTAAGGAGAGGTGGAGAAAAGTGAAGGCCCTGGTTTGAAGGTGCACTACCAGAAGCTACCACTAGAGAGATCTGTAGACGTAGGGCAGGATGGCAGCCTGGTGGCCAGGTGAGGGCTGTGCCTTTAGGAAGAAACAAGATCTTTCCTTTCTCATGTGGGGCCTGATTACCAGGACCAGCCCAGGGCACTGACTAGGGGCCAAAAAACAACCTGGAAAGGAAGAGAACTGCAGAGCTGAGTCTGGCTCCCTTGGCCTCTCCAGGCTCCCCTCCCCACACCCCTTGAGGTACACTCACTTCAAAGGAGACAGGCAGGCGAAAGGTGTCTCCAGCCTTGACCGTCAGTGAGTCCTTTATACTGGAATCCATTAGGAACTTGGGACAGACTGAAACACACAAAATGGCTTGTCACTTCCGTCTACAGTTGGACCCCAGCCCCAGGTCACCAGGGTAGGGCTAGAGGGGGAAGGCTGTGCCAGTCTAATTGATGCTGAGACCCCAATGCACTGGGGGCTTTAAAGGATCTGGAGGGGAGTTGGGAGAATAATCTTGGGGGAACCCCAGCAGCTGGTGGGGAGATGCCAATAGGAGAGGGACAGGAGCTGAGAAGGAAAAGGCACAGGGAGAAGGTTAAGGTGAGTCTGAAACAGAGGAAGTGATGTGGTGGACCTCTTTTGTTTTACAGATGAGATAACCACCAATCTGGGGCAGAAAGTGACTTGCCTGAGGTCACATTGAGTTAGGGACAGAGCCAGGACAAGTGCCCAGGATTCAGGATTGTGTCCTGTGTGGTGTGAACATGTATCCCTTATTGTCACAGTGACAAGTAGGTAGGGTCATTTGGGATGGTCACTGCCAATTTGGGTCGATGACAGGCCAGCTGCTTCTAGCAATTAAAGCCCCAAGGGAAAGATAATCCCCCTTTTGATAATGGGGAGCTGGAGCATGTTTCATTCTGAGCATGAACTGTAGGAGCTGAGCTATACTTATGCTTCCTTAGGCCATGCCCAGGAAGCAGCAGCTCTCTCTCCTGGAGAGAGCACCACCTTTAGAATCACCAGGTTTAATTCCTGGCTCTACCACATACCATTGTGCAAAATGTGTTGCACCTCAACTTCCTTCTCTGTAAACTGGGCATAAAAATACTACATTTGTAGGACTGTTATGAATTGGAATGAGAAAAAAATTCCAAAAAGGGCCTTCTTAGCCCTGTGCCTAGCACATCACAGGTGCTCAATGATGTTACTTCATGAAACTGGGGAAGGAGATCCTGCTCTACAAGTGCTTGGTGGTTGCTCAGGTCCCTGCAAGCCTCAGAGGTAGGGAAAGAGATGGCACTAACCAGTAGTGGGTGTGGCTTGCACTAATGTGTCCAGGGCAGTGGGCTGGCTATGGCCTCCTTCGTTAACTGCTGTCACTCGCACGAAGTAGCCTTCTTGGGGCCGAAGCCCTTTGGCCGTGTAGGTGGTAACTGGCACAGTGCCCTCATGGCATGGGATCCATTGGAGACTGTATGAGCCACACAGCTCTACCACATAGCCCTGGGCTTCATCCCCATCCTGGGCATCCGGTCCGGCCCAGCTCAGGGTGATGCTGGTGTTGGATGTGTCTGTGACTTGGAGATTCCGCACGGGTCCAGGAGGTCCTGGCCAGGTACCAAGCGAATGTCAAGAATGGCATCACCCCCTCCCACGGGAGGCCACTCAGCATGGATATTCATTAGCTTTCCTTGTGGGACTAGGGATTATTTTTACTTAGCGACCCTGCCTTTAGATCTTCCTAAAGTACCACCTAGAACCAAATCCTTACTCTGTCCCATATTCTGCCTCAGTTATGCACATAGATCCCAGGTCACCCCCTCTAGGAAGCGTCCCCCAACTCATTCTACTCATTCACCAACCCAGCAAGCCTCTTTCTCTAACTATCCCTCTGTAATTCCTGAAAACCAACACTCTTAGGTCCCATTATCCCTGCATACTAGAATTCTATGTCTTTTCATTTTGAACGTCAAGGCTTAGTGTCAAGACCCTGCCTTTTGGACATTCGGTGCAGGCTTCTTGTTCTTCACCTACTAAATGGGAGCAATAATAACCTTCCCACAGGAGACTGGGAGCAAGCAAAAGGCACAATGTGTGTGAAAGGACTTCGGAAATTGCACAGCTATCTGGCTTTGGCCTTCAAGCGTGGGTGTACTTTGGAGTCACTAAGGGAGCTTAAAAAATACTAAGGCCTAGATGCCACCCCCAGGGACTCATTGCCACCTAGGTAGCAGGATTTTCAGGAGCTCTCTAGGTCTTTCTAAACATGCAATGAAGTTTGAAAGCCACTGGCCTAGGGCAGTGCTTCTCAAACTTTGATTAGCAAAGTTTGATTACTCGGGGATTTTGTTAAAAATACAGCTCCTAATTCAGGAGGTTTGGGGTGATGCCTAAGATTCAGAATTTCTTTTCTTTCTTTCTTTCTTTCTTTCTTTCTTTTTTTTTTTTGAGACAGCATCTCACTATGTTGCCTCTGGTAGAGTGCTGTGGCGTCACAGCTCACAGCAACCTCAAACTCTTGACTTAAGCCATTCTCTTGACTTGGCCTCCCAAGTAGCTGGGATGACAGGCACCTGCCACAATGCCCAGCTATTTTTTGTTACAGTTGTCATTGTTGTTTAGCTGGCTGGAGCTGAGTTCGAACCCACCAGGCTTGGTGCATGTGGCTGGTGCCATAAACACTGTGCTATGGGCGCCGAGCCAAGATTCAGCATTTCTAATAAGTTCCCAGGTGATATTGCCAGACCATGGCTCTTGCTTAGTTGTAAGAATCGGTGAAATGTGGTCATTGCTGTGGATACTGATTGACGCAGCTCATCCTGTCTACTGTCTCCATTGCCTATTACTGATAAGAGAGAGATTAACAATAAAACAGGATGGGTCCACTTGCAAGGAATAAGACGCATGGGCCAGCTTTCCTCCTCCATCCCTCCCTTCCATGCTCTGTCCTTCGTAGAACTAAAACCTAGGTGCCCCTTGAATAATTAAACTTGTAGAATGTTCTATTCTTGTTGGGTTCATTCAAATAGCTTGCACATCCACAGTGTGCCAAGTTCTGTAGGGCACAAAGATGCTCTTGGGGTGTTTTACTATCTGGCTGATTCATCAAGTGCCAGCAATGTGCTGCTCCCTCAATGACCTGGCACTGGAGGCTCGTAAGGGGATGAGGAACACAGAGCAACATTTTCTAAGCTGTACACCTTGGAGTGAAGTTTTTAGCAGGTATTTTGTGGAAAAGGTATCCACTACTCAAATTTGGGAGATTTGGATCAAAGAAAGTTAGACAGTTTTTAAAATTCTTGCAGGACTTCAAAGACTGTAGACTCATGTCATGCAAATCTTTGATCACAGACCTTTTGTGCTGTCTCTCTTGTTCTCAGAATGTCTGTTGGCATCTCTCAGTACCCTGATGCTCCCGAGACCACAGATAGGGAAATGGTGTCCTAGGCAGTAAGTTCTCAAAGGCAGAGACCAGGATTGATTCACCCAGTTCCTGGCACAATGCTGACAAATATTTACTGGCTAGAGAATTGAGGCTGAGGTGTTTCTGATACCTGCCCCCTTCCCCCATGAGGATGATAACTTCTCACTGGAGTGGGTGACTGATGCATGTGGGCCAGTTTAGGAACCTACCTGCCCAGAGGCCAGAGAGTGAGTGATTTTAGAAGGAGTTTTCTAATCCCCGCTGCCTGTCCTCTGGTAGGCAGTGCTGTTTGATCTCAGTGTTGGGGCTCTGACATGTGCCTTGCCTGAGAGCCTTTCAGTCTTTATCTTCCAGCCCTCCTAACCATTTCTTCAGGACTGCCCTTGACCTGTGACCTCCTGTCCTAGGCCATTGGCTTCAGAGCTATCCCGTGCTCACCCCCACCCCCTGGGTTGGTGCTATACTTACTCATGGGGTCTCGAGCAGAGACAACATCCGAAGGGGGCCCAGGCTCTCCAGGGCCCGAAGGAGCCACAGCCGTGACCCGGAACTCATACTGACATCCCTGTCGCACGTCCACCACTGTCCATCTCCTCTCTGTGAACAGCCCACCTGACATTAGCACCCCCAATGGGACCAGGTGAGGGGAGCTAGCTTGGTGCCTCCAGGTTCTGGAGAAGTGCCTGTGGTCCTTGGACATCCCTCCCCCCAGCCAGCCAGGTGTGACCCAGCTCTCATACTGCTCAGGTGTCAGGGATCCCAAATCCCTGTCTGGGTCTGCCACTAACTTGCTGGGTAATCTTGGGCAAATGCCTTAATCCCTCTGGTTCTTTCTGCTTTTCAGAGTTGCTGTCATATTCAAATAAAACAGGATCACTAAATACTGAAATTAGAAAGAAGCCCTTAGTGCATCCAGAGATGAAGAAACTGAGGCCCTTGCTCCAAGTAGCACAACATGACCAGAAACCAGGGCTCCCACTAAGCTGCTCCGGGTCCATCCTCCCTCCACAGAACTTAACTTCTGTGACATGCGTAGAGCACAGAAATGCACAGGACCCCTCAGCATCTGGCCAACCCTTGGGTTTTTCTGAGTTCCTTTTTTTCTCTGAAAGTAGTCGTTTCTTAGGAAACCACTAAGTGGGACAGACGACCCTTCTATTTACCTATTGGATGAGGAAACTGAGATCTAGAGATGATGTGAGTGCCCAAGGTCATGGCCAGAAGTACAGAGCCAAGGCTAACAGCTTCCTCTCTGACTTTTAGCCAGGCTTCTACTGAACCAGAGCTTCTCAACTTCAGCACAATCTAGCTCTTGTCAGATAATTATTTTGTGTGGGGAGGGGCCGGGATAAGCTCCACCCTGTGTTCTGTAGGAAGCAGCTTCCCAGGCTTCACTCTGGATGCCAGTAGCATCTACCCCCTAATGGAACAATCAAAAATGTCTCCAAATATCAACAAATGTCCCATAAGGAGACAAACTCACCCAGAAGAGACCCATTGTAGTAACCAATCCTGGAACCAAGAGAGGGATCTAAGGCAGCTGTTCTCAACCTGTGGGTCGTGACCCCTTTTTAACAATGAAAATACGTTGTGGCATGTGGAAGGTTGAGAATCACTGGTCTAGGAGGGACTTTGGAAGCCAGGACAATGAGGAGCCCCGCTCAGGCCTGCTCACCAGGCAGGGGCTGGTCATTCACTGCTGTCCAGGTGTTGCTCCCTTTCTTGCGCTTCTCAATCAGGTAGCCCAGGATGTGGGCACTGCCAGGGCCCCGAGGTGCTGTCCATGTTAGTGTGATCCCCTGGCTGGAGGCAGACACAATGGCTGGAGCAGAAGGGGCCCCTGGAAGAGCTGGGGGCAGAGAAGGCGCTTGTCAGCCAGGGGCCAAAGAAAGGTGTCAGCCCATAGAGTGGCCCTGGGGGTAGAAGGCATGGGCACCTGGGAGAGGGCCACACTCTGTTCTTCCCTGGGGAATGTCCAGGGCTGAGGTAGCCTGTTCTGGGACACTGTTCTGGCTGTTCCGGGGCAGGAATGATGGGACAGAGAAGGTATTTTGGCCCAGGAGTCTAGTGCCAGTCCTGGGGCCTCTCAGCCTCAAGTCCCCTGACAGGACGTTCCAGACTGGAGGGATCTGATGTGGATGCTAGTCTCTGCTGGGGTCCTGACAGAGTAGCTTCTGCCTGCCCGTCCCCTCACTCCCAGAGACCCCATCAATCTGACCTGGCTGCCTGATCCCAAATGCAGCTGAGTTAAGGAGTCTTCAGAGTACTCAAAAGGGCCTCCAGACCCCCAAGCGCTGTCCAGTGTTGCTCAGCCTCTGGAGCAGATCCACCTTTCTCTGGGCACAGTGGGGAGCCCAGGGGTATTCCCAGGCCTGGCCTTTTCTCTCACCCTCAGGAGCCACCAGCACCTCCTCAGACTCCAGGGCCTCGCCAGCTCCCTCTGAGGTCACAGCCCGCACACGGAAGGCATACTTCCGGCCTCGCTCCACGCGGGCATCAGTGAAGGTGGTGCCATCTGCGAGGGCCTCGCCCACCTTCAGCCAGGTGCTCCTGCCAGCCTGTCGCCTCTCCACCACGTAATGCTCCACGGCCTGGCCTCCGTCATCCCTCGGGGGCCGCCAGCGGAGGCAGACACCAGCCCCGTGGCAATCCTGCACCTCCAGGGGGCCTTGAGGAGGCTCAGGCTTGTCTGCAGACCCACCAAGAGGAACAGGAAGAGAAGGGTTGTCAGAGGAGCTGAAGGGGAACACTGCTGGTCTTTCCTCCCACCCACTGTCTGCAGATAAGCCTGCGATGGCATGGACTGCCCAGACAGCCTGGACATTACCCAGAGTCCCACATGTTCCCTGAGATGGCCAGGTGTCCCTGGGTGCCACCCCCAACCCACACACTACACCTGGCAATGGACCATGGGAGCTCCATCATTCTGTGGCTGATACGGGCATGCTTAGCCTGCGAAAGTCCTACCTTGCTAGCACCACTCGAGGCTGGGGGCCACCATCCCACCCAGCAACCTCCCTAAGGTCCAGTGTATTGGAGTCAGAGAAGCACAACCACTTCCCACCCCAGCAGGAGCCCAGCCCTTTGTTCATCTAAACTGCTTTTTTTTCGTTTTTTTTGTAGAGACAGAGTCTCACTTTGTCACCCCTGGTACCATGTTTCCCCCAAAATAAGACCTACCCAAAAAACAAGCCCTAGTAGGATTTCTATGCATTTGTTAAATATAAGCCCTACCCTGATAATAAGACCTAGTGATGGGCGTGGATGCATAGCATATCTGCATAGCCACGCCATGCATTTTGGGGCGGAGCAGTAAGGAAAACTAGAATACCTTTTATCTGCCACAGCTCCTTTCTCTGAACCCTTCGCACTTGCGCGGGTGCTCCTGCGGTAACCATGGTCACAGGCATCCTATTGCGCATGTGTGAATGGCTAGGGGAAAGGAGTTCACTCATCACTAGCACCAGTCCCACCAACAGGGTCAGCTCCCCCTGTTAGGTTCCAGAAATAAATGTAGATTGTTGTATAATACTTAATAAAAATAAGATATTCCAGGTGGCACCTGTGGCTCAAAGGAGTAGGGCATTGGCCCCATATGCCAGAGGTGGAGGTGGTGGGTTCAAACCCAGCCCCAGCCAAAAACTGCAAAAAAAGAGACATCCCCTGAAAATAAGCCCTAGTGTGACTTCTTGATAAAAAGTAAATATAAGACAATGTCTTATTTTCGGGGAACGTAGTAGAGTGCTATGGTGTCACAGCTCACTGCAACCTCCAACTCCTGGATTTTGGTGATTCTCTTGCCTTGGCCTCCCGAGTAGCTGGGACTATAGGCACCCACCACAACACCCAGCTATTTTTTTTTTTTTGTTGCAGTTTGGCTGGGGTTGGGTTTGAACCCGCCACCCTCAGTATAAGGCGCCAGCACCCTATCCACTGAGCCGTAGGCGCCACTCATTTTTCTTTTTTTTATGAGACAAAGTCTCAAGCTATGGCCCTGGTTAGAGTGTCATGGCATCATAGCTCACAGAAACCTCCAACTTGGGCTCAAGTGATCCTCTTGCTTGCCAGCTCAAGCAATCCACTCTCCTTGGCCTCCCAGAGTGCTAGGATTACAGGCATGAGCCACCTTGCCCAGCCAAAACTGCTTCTTCTTAACCAGTCTGATGAGGGGAGAGAGGGCAGGTAGGGTTAGGTTTGGATCTTAGACAGCATGCTAATAAGGATCGGAACCAGCAGACATCACACCAGGACCTGCCCTTGCTGGCAGGGCTGAAACCCCAGGGACCCTCAGGCTTTGGTTGTGGGGAGGGCTGAGGCTGGCACCTATGACTTGCAGGGTGAGCTTGGCCTGCACAGAGCCTCCCTCGCTCTTCAGTGTCACGCTGTACTGGCCACGATCCTTCCTGTCTGCACTGGGGAGGCATAGCCGTGTGTAGCCATCTCCCAGGGCTATCTGGGTGCCCCTGCTGCCACTGCCCTCCACCTCAGCCCCGTCCTTCCTCCAGGTGGCCTGAACGGGAAGGCAGCTCTGGAAGGGGATCTTCACTGCCACAGGCTTCCCAGCCTTGACCACCAGTGGCTCTCTCAGTTTCTCTGTCACATCTGGAGCAATGATGGGGGTATCTAAAGATAAAATAAGGCAAAGGAATTAAAGAAGCCAAGGGCACTGGGCATCTGGGGAGTGCAGAAAGATGCATCCAGAGAAAGAAGTTGGGGATAAGAGTAAGGCACCCTCTGCCCCACCTCATGAGGACTAACAAGGGGAATGGGCTTCATCTGCAGCAGTAGGGATCAGGATTGACCTCACCAAGGACTTCCTGACAAGGAAGACACTGGAATAGGGAAGATGTGGGTTGGCTTTTTAAATCATATTCTCAGGCTGAGGATGAGGTTAGACACTGGCTGCAGACTAGCCACAAAGTCAGGTGTTTAGAAGTGGAGCTTATCACCTAGTATGAAGAGACTGTGGGACAGACAAAGGCAGGGCTGGGCCTCACCCTGGACAGTCAGGGTGGCCTCGCTCTGCTGGTTGCTGGCTACAAAGGTATACCTCCCAGCCTGGGTCCTCTGTACATGGGCAATGAGGAGTCTGTGCACGAGACCTTCTTGCTCAAAGACAACTCCATCCTGGGTGGTGAGCTGGGGACAAGAGCCAGAGCAGGAGAAGGTCACCCTACCCCCAAGCCAGCTAAACAGAGCCGTTTACTGATGCAATCTCAGGAATCATAACAGCCACATGAGTTGCATGCTTATTTCGTGCCTAGTGTGTGTTCCTCATGCTTGGTACCTTATTTGTCATGACCTTAGGAAGCGGGTATATTACCAATCTCATTTTATAGATGAAGAAACCAGGATGTTTAGCAACTTGTGGAGGTCGCATAACTGGTAGTGGCAGAGCTGGGATCTCAAGCCAGATCTAGCGGATGCCTAGGCCCATGACCTGAATCCCTGTGAGGTATCTCCTCCTGAGGTGACAGTTACAACGGAAGACAGAGGGGCTGTTCAGAGAGGTGAGAGCTCCCCTCTGGTTGGGATGGGAAGATGGCATTTGTATAAGGCCTTGAAGGAAGGGTAGAATCCAGCAGGTGTTGGTATAGGAGAGGCATTCTCAGTGGAGGAAGAAATTTGAGGGAGGCGAGAGTAGGATACGCAACATTTTAAAAACCCACTTTTATTTTAAACACAAGCTGTTGGCTATTTAAACTTCTCCCAGGGTGAATACGTCAGTAAAATGAATGATGAAAAAAATCTTCCTTGCAAAGCCCTATCTCTACTGCCTCTCTGCTATACCCCATCCCTCCCCGGTAAAGAGAAGGTATAAGGTGGGCAGTACCTTGACTCCATCCTTAAACCAGGTGCCAGGTCCCAGGTCACTGGTGAGGGTGCAAGAGAGTATGGCAGTCTCACCCTGTTGCACCTCCGTGTCTGCCAGGCCCTGGGAGAAGTGGCCTGAGGGACCTAGAGAGACACAGAGGCAGTCCCCAATGCCAAACCTCCCAGGCTGTGGCCTGCACTTTGGTCTGGGAGGCCACCATGGTCCTGTGAACAGGGGTCAGCCTGAGCCAGTAAAGCCAAGCCTCCCATTTTTCTCAGTAGGACGTAGGCTGGGGATATGGGGTATAAGGCAGATGAAGAGGCCCTCTGGGTCACACAGGTGGGAAGTCTGGATGACTCCAAGAGAGTTAGACCAAAAACTCTGGTACTTTGGACATAGGATTTCAGACCATTTACCCATGAGACCTCTAACCCTCATGCAGGGTGGATTGCACCTGCACAAGGAGGAAGAAATTGCTTCAGAAAATTTTTCTAAAGTCCCTGAAAATGGGATGCATTGGCAGGGACAAAATCCTGGGGTTGGAGGCAGAACTGGGAAGGACCCAAGCATCCTAGGTTCCAGAGCTTAGTTGGCTGGAGCCAGGTCAGCTGAGCAATACTTACCTCGGACCTCCATGGAGAAACTGCCAGTGCCGCGCTTATAGCTGGGTGTGGGACTCCGGGTGGCATCTCGGTCCTTGCTGCCCTCTTTGCCACTTCTCCTGCTGCCAAGATGACTTAGGGTCTCCTGGTTCCAGTCTTCACGTAGAGGTTCTCCTAGGCGCCCTCGGGTCTGCTCCGCAGGAGGCTGCCCGGTGCCTCTGGCCAAGTCCACTTCCACTCTCTTGGCTACTCCAACCTCAGCCCCTGATTGTGCTTGAGAACTGCTCCTGAGTGAACTGGGCTTCCTGTCTGGCCTTCCAGATGCTTCCACTCCCCAGCCCTCATTCTCCTTTAGGGCCCTGGGACCTTGGGTCTCTCCATTCTCAGCCTCCAGGGACTCTTGCTCCCTGAGGGACCCCCTTCCTTCTCTCTGTCTTTTGCCTAGCTGAGAACTCAGGCCCTGGATCCCTCCTGATCTGTCTCCATAACTTTTTCTGCCACAGAGACCATCTAAGCCATTCCAGACTTCCTGAGGTCCAGACTCCCCAGGTTTTTGGGTGAGGCCATCCCCCCACTCAGTGCAATTCCCCTTGCCCAGGACACCTGAGTCCTCTGCACCACCAGACCTGTCCCTCCTAGGACCTGAACCTTTGCTATGCAGGGATTGTGAGCCGTGACCTTCTCCAGCTGCCTCTTGGCCTGGTGCACTCTCCCTGCCTTTAAAGCCCCCTGGCCCTTCATGGGTCCCACTGAAAGTGGCACCTTTCTCCTGCAGAGAAGTGGAAGCCCTGGAGCCTGAGGCTTGGCTCCCAGCACCTGGGCTGCATTGCACAAACCCCTGCTCTTCCCAGCCTGGGCCCCCAGTGCTGCTCACCCCTTGCCCATCGTGTCCTTCTGTTGATTTTCCCCTTCTTCTGGGCATGGAGCTGCTGCCCATGGCCTGGCCTTCCCCTGCTGAGCTCCCTGAACCTGCTCCCATCCTTCTGCCTCCCAGCAGTGAGTCTCCACCTCCCTGAGGTGCTAATCCACCCTGTCCAGGAACTCTACCCTTTTCTGCTATTCCTGGACCTTTTTTCCAAAAGTCTCGGTCAGGTCTAGACTCCAAAGCATCCACCTCTGTCCTGGTCTCACCTTCCACTGCCTCCTTACTATCAAAACCCCCAGAACCCCTTCTATCTCCTCCTTGGTCTGCAGACCTACCCTTCCCCCTGGGGGCCCCTCTATCCCTAGAAGACCCTGCAATCCCAGAACCATCTTGCCATTCCTCGATATCTGGTTTTCCTTTGGAACCAACAGCCTCCAAGGCCCCAGGGACCCCTGAGGTTCTATTGCCTCTAAGACCATTGGTGGAGCCCCACCCATCTGGCCCTCCCTGAGTCTCTGGCATCCCCGGGACCCTAGGGCTGTCTGTGTATGCTGTGCTGTCTGCAGTGCCCAGCATCCCAACCATCCCAGAGCCTACACCAGGGCCTGCCCCATCAGTGAGCCCCATTCTTCTGGCCCTCTGTGGGCCATCCTTGGAGCTCATGCCACCTTTGGATGCTACCAAATATCCTGACCCTTGCTCCATAGCTTTGCGGCCTCTGGGTCCAGCCTCATGTCCTACTCCAGCCAGTGAGCCTGGCACCTCAAACTGCTCTGAACTATCTTCACAGCCCATCTCGCCCTCTGGCCCCATTTTCCCAGGTCCTCCTGGGCCTCCCCTATAACTGACTTCACTCCCTGACTCTATTCCCCAAGTTCCCTCCAAGCCTTGCCTATAATCTGCCTCATTCCCTAATGGAATCCTCCCAGAACTCCCTACATCATGCCTATAACCTGCCTCATCCACTGACCCTATTTCCCCAGAACCCCCTAAACCATCCCTAAAGACCTCCTTCCTCCCTGAGCCCCTTCCCCCAGGAACCCCCAAATCTTCCCTGTGACCTGTGTCATCCTCTGACCCCGTTTCCCCAGAACCCCCTAAACCATCCCTAAAGGCTACTTTGCTCCCTGAACCCCTTCCCCTAAGAGCCCCCAAATTCTTCCTGTAGCCTGTGTCATCTGCTAATCCCATTTTCCCAGAGTCCCCTAAACTATCCTCAAAGGCTGCCTTGCTCCCCAAATCCCTTCCCCCAGAAGCCCCCAAATCTTTCCTGCAACCTGTGTCATTGGCTGACCCCATTTCTCCATAACTCCCTAAACCATCCCTAAAGGCTGCCTTCCTCCCTGAGCCCCATCCCTCAGGAGCCCCCAAATCTTTCCTGTAACCTGTGTCATCTGCTGACCCCATTTCCCTAGAACCCCCTAAACCATCTTTAAAGGCTGCCCTGCTACCTGACCCCCTTCCCTTAGGAGTCCCTAAATCTTTCCTGTAACCTGTGTCATCTGCTGACCCCATTTCCCTAGAACCCCCTAAACCATCCTTAAAGGCTGCC